GTGGGTGTGGGTGTGGGGTGTGGGTGTCGGTGTGAGTGTGGGTGTCGGTGTGGGTGTCGGTGTGGGTGTGGGTGTGGGTGTGGGTGTGGGTTTGGGAGTTTGGTGTGTGGAGTGTGGATGTACGTGTGGGTCTGTGTGGGTGTCGGTGTGGGTGTGGGTGTGGGTGTGGGTGTGGGTTTGGGAGTTTGGTGTGTGGAGTGTGGATGTACGTGTGGGTCTGTGTGGGTGCGTGTGCGTGTAGGTGTGGGTGCGAGTGTGAGTGATAAAAGAAGAATCCGTTCACACCCACACCCTCCTATATTTATGTACAAAAGAATGTATTTTGAGATGAAAGCTGTATTTTCAATACTTTGCATTTGGGCGATGTGCTCTATCATATTGAAACACAATCATATCGTGAATGCAAAATTTTGTCTTCTAATTTGAAATACATGTTTTTTATTACGTAAATTTAGGAACTCTATATTAACATCACATTGTGTCAGTTTCACTTTTAGTTTCATATGTCCAGTATTAGTAGATAAAAAGATAAGCACTTGCATAATCGTTTCCTACGTCTGAGTTAGAAAAAACTAAAAATATATATATAAGTGTATGATGCACATTATTGCGCTTTCATTCGTTATCTTCTTGCTGCAGTGAGATAGTTTTTCGTTAGAAAGTCGTAATCTTACTTCAAAAAATAATCGTAATTTACTTTCGAAAAAGTATGATGTTATTTTTGAACGGTTACCACAACTTTGTAAAATACTATGAAAGTTATTTAAAATAGGAATATTGAAAATTCTCCTCACGTGTATTTGAATTTGTTTAGTAATTTAAATTTTTTATTTCGCTGTTCTATACCATTTTATCTCGAAAAAATCTTAAATTTAATCGAAAATGCAATTTTAGTGATAATCAGAGGATTTTATACGGAAAATCTATATTACTACATCCATTTCAATAAACTTGAAAAAATTTCTTAAGCCTACACTTCAAGCAGCTTTTATTCGATTCACAAATTTATGGTAACGACTAGTAATACA